CGCGCACGCGCCCCTCGCACACACACACACACACCTGAGCACGCACACCTGGCACACACACACACACACCTGAGCACGCACACCTGGCGCGCACACACACACACACCTGAGCACGCGCACCTGGCACACACACACACACACACACACCTGAGCACGTGCACCTGGACACACACACACACACACACACACACACACACATGAGCACATGCTCCTGGCACACACACACACACACACACACACCTGAGCACGCACACCTGGCACACACACACACACTCCTGAGCACGCACACCTGGCGCGCACACACACGCACACACACACACACACACACACCTGAGCACGCGCACCTGGCAGGGTTGCCAGATGGGTTCAACAAAATTACCTGCCTATTTCCTACCTGCAGTTAGACCTGGCTGGAAATTTCCACTGTGCATCTGGCAGCATCTGGCAGCAGCCGGTCGGTGCCCACCAAAGCTGGTGCTCCAGTGAATCTGTTAGTCTATGCGGTGCCACAGGGCTCCTCGCCGCTTCAACAAAAATACCCACACCCTTGACATTACATCACCATTTACATTACGTCTTATTTAGAAAATACCGGACACTTCTATTTTCTCAATTTGTTTCCCGAACAGAAAGCTCAAATACTGGACTGTCCGGTTCAACCGGACACCTGGCAACTCTAGCCCCTGAGGAAACAGCATTTACACACACACACGCCACTGGGGAAGCACTGCATATGCACGCGCACACACACACACACATGCACGCCCCTGAGGAAACGGCGTGTACACACACACACACACGCCGCTGGGGAAGCGCTGCACATGCATGTGCACACACACACACACATGCATGCCCCTGAGGAAACGGCATGTACGCACACACATGCCCCTGGAGAAGCGCTGCGCATGTTTGCACACACGCACACCCCTGAGGAAACGCATAGTGTCTCTCCACAGCTTGTTTCTCGCATCCCCAGACTCCATTGCTAAAGGGTAGCGCCTCTCCCACCCCGACTCCACACAATTCCCAAATCCCTGGGACTGGCAGCTGCCCGTGTCCCAGGACAGTGCTCTAGGGGTGCTGTGGTCTCCACAGGGCCCCTGGCTGACCTGTTAGGTTGAAATTGCTACAGTGCTGTTTCAGGAGTGACAAACCCCACACCTGCTGCCAGCCGAGCTGCAGCCAGGCTGACAGAAGAGTGCGTCCGTGGCTGTGGGGCGGGGTGCTCCTATACCAAGGGAGTGAAACTTAACTTTGTAGGCAGCCTGCACCCACACTTCCGGTTTGTGGAACATACCGACCCCGGTTAGGCTTCACGGTGTGCGTACAGCTTAGGCTTGAGATTTCCCTGGGGTACTGCTTCCTGCAGCTCTAGGAAAGGCAAACGAAGGCCAATGGGGGCTGCAAGCAGCTGTACCTGCAGAGGCACAGGTCAAATAAAGCATCTGGTGGCCCACCAGGGGCTAACCCTTGTGAACTGTGTCTGGCCCGCCAGCTGCTCGTTGCCCACCCCTGCTCTATTAGTTCTATGTTACATCAGTGGATTCTCAATTAATTCAGGGACCACATAGCTAATCACAAGCCCACTTTTCTATAGTGCCTGGGCTTTCCTGTAAAGGTTGGTCCTCCCTGGTCTGGCACCCTTGGGACACTGGCTCCAGATGAGGCATTTTGCTGGACCAAGGGAGGTAATTTCTGGTGCCCTTGCTGCTGACCATCCCGCCCCCTCCCGCTGCCCTGCCACCCCACTGAGCTTCCCAGCTCCTGTGAGCAGACCAGCTGCACCGGGTGTGAGGCTTCCCGTTATCCCTACCCCAGTTGATCCATGCACCAGGTTTCCTGCTGCCCCCGCAGGCTGGGCCATGCATTGGGTTTCCTGGCTCCCCAGTTCCTGCATGCCAGGCTTCCTAGCACCTGCTACTCCCTCCCACTGCAGCACAGAAACTTCCCAACTCCTACCCGGCCCCTGACAGCCCAGCTGGGCCACATGCTGGGCTCCCACCCCTGCAGTGCCCCGGGACTCAGATCCTGGAACATCTGTGGTCCTGCCAGACCATTGCCAGACCAGAGAGTCCCAGGTTTATAGAGGTGCAACCTGTAGCAGTCTTGCTTCAAAGTATGGATCCCACCCAAGTTGTTTTAGCTTCTCAAAGCTGAGATCACCTGCAAAAATAAATTACCTTTTTTAACGATTGTGTACTTGCTGAAAAGGAACAGAGGGAAAGTCCCTTACCACACTTTCACAGGATCACTCTCTGATTTAAAAACGATTCCCCACGAGGTGGAACTGTTTCAACACAAAACGTTTCTAATAAACCTCTGGCTTGGTTTGAAAATAAGTAAGTGTTCTGCTGAGTTGGAGGCACAGGCATGACTGCTGGGAGTCACAGATGCATGCAGAAAAGAACCTGGACTTCAATGTGCGGATAGTGTGTGTGTCTACTGGGATCCCACAGGGATTGTTTCTTGGTCCTGTGCTACTTAAAATTCTTAACAGTGACTTTAACGAAAACAAAATCACCAATAAAGTTTGCAGATGATGCAATGATGGGGGAGGAGAGAGTGGTAAATAATGAAAAGGACAGGTCACTGTTACATAGTAATTGCGATCTCTTGTTAAGCTTGTCACAAACAATGTTTCCTCTCTATTTGGCACTTGTGTGGCACTAATGGAATACTGTGTCCAGTTCTGATGTCAATAATTCCCAATGGATGGAATAAACTGGAGAGAGTTCAGAGATAAGCCTCAGAAATTATTAGAAAATGTGCCTGATATGAATTGATTAAAAAAGATCAGTTTGTTCATTGTAACAAAGAGAAAGGTAAGGGACAACTTGATCATAGACTGTAAGTACCGACATGGGGAACAAATATTTATAATGGGCTGTGCAATCGAGGAGACAAAGGTATAAGATCCAGTGGCTAGAAGTTGAAGCCTGACAAATTCAGATTGGAAATACATTTTTAGTAGTGAAGGTCATAAACTGTTGAAGCAATTTATCAAGAGTTGCAGTGAATTCTCCACCACTGGGAATTTTAAAATTGAGATTGGATGTCTTGCTACAAGATACTGTAGTTCAAAAAGGTGATATTTCAGGGAAATACCGTGGCCTGTTACACATCAGGCCAGAGTAGATGATCACAATGATCCCATTTGGCCTATGACTCTCTGGATAGCCCTACAAAGAGCTTCCTAAGGAATCACAGCTGAATGCAAAAGTGGGTAACAAAGCAAACACATTTGGTGGGAAATGACTACTCTAATCTGAAAGCCAAAGGACGAAGTTAATTGTGCTTAGATACCACCAAAATATTGCATGAGCTAGCTAGGGTGTACATCAGAAGCTGGGAATGGGCGACAGGGGACGGATTTATATGCACCATTCCCATGTACTGAAAAGAATAGGAGCTGATCTGCATGCCGTAAATTACACCTTCTGCTTCCAACAACACTTCTCCCTTAGCTCCCTTCTAGCCTATGCTTTTGGAGCAGTAGGACCTGTACTCTCTGCTAGAGCTGAGAAAATTGGAGTGGTGGGCGTGGGTATTAACCAAGAGTCTGAGGTATCCACAGCTTATTTATTTATTTATTTTACAATACTTTTGTGTAACTCAATTCACCCTCTACGTGAGAAAATGCAGTTTGACTATCATTTGGATCTAAAGAAGTTAGCTTCAGTGTGGCTCCTTTGTGGGAATGCCCAAGTTAGACACAATTTTCCTTCTTTGTTTTGAATGGGAAATTTTTTTATTTGGAACTGAATAAACTATGATCAGTGTCTGCAGCAAACTCGATAACAGCAAAACAATTCCTGTAACAACTCTGCGCCTCTAAGCTTACTTTCTTATTGGGGAAAGAAGAGAGAGGCTTCCACGCCTAGGCTTCCTGTTGCCAACATCTAAGAAGGCTCTTGACGCAGGTTTCACATCTCTCCGCAGCTTAGTAAAGACATTTTTGATTGTATTATATTTTAAACCACGTGAAGTAATTTTTCCTCAACTAGTGAGGAAATAACCACAGTCGCACATTAGAGTTGAGGAGAAAGACCATGGGGAGACATGGGTATCTGATCAAAATAATAATAATTGGATTTATCATCAAAGGTAAGACCTTCAATCCTGCATTACTAATAATTCTTTATTACTATTTTATCATTGTAATGAGCCAAATGTGTTCAGTGATGTATAGATATTGTAATAAGTCCCTGACATAACAAAGATTAAATACCGTCAAATAAATAGAGGGGGAAGGCAGATTGCTAGATAGCCAGGCTAAGCTGTGAGAGTTATGGTTGGCACCCATCTTGTCATCGCCTCTTTAAGAAATACAACCTTATCCGTACTATGCGGATTTAGTTTTGGAGATTGTTTTGTGGGAGATGAACTCAATATAGCTTAATGGGCCTTTTCCATCTCTGTTTTTTGTGCTCTCTGTGAACATTAAGCTCACTCACAATGTTTAAGGGTGGAAAGACCATGCAGTGGATGATCTAGTTCAATTTGGCACGTACCTAGAACATGATCTCTTTAAATACGCTGTGAGACAAACTCGAATATTGTGATTCAGAACATTTGTCTGTAGCATATAGTGTGGTATCATATTAGGCAAATAAGCTATACAATGAATGTTTTTATCAATTTTAAATATTATATAGCATGTAAAGTTTGTAGAGTTCACTGAAAGCACATAAATATAACAAACCCTATCTCCCAAGTGGTTTTTACCTAATGTAGACTTACTTCTCTTCAGATACATTCAATAAGTTTGCAGTCGGTTTTGTGGGTGTCAATGGAATTTTGGAGCACTTTGTGCCATACGTTACACAATATTCCAGTGAGAGGAATTGCACAGAATATGTGTTTAGGTATATTTTGCCCCCATGTTATCCATTCTTCTTCATGACTCTAACCATGAGACCTGCCTGCTAAACTTACCCCAGAAGATGGTGAAATATTAACATTTTAGCACCTCTGTTGAGTGCAGGTAAAGATTAAAGGTTATTTTAAACTGATTAATATTTCTATCTTTGATTTGATGAACGTGTATTTTTAAGTTTGAGTTTGAAGAGACATCTGAATTTTATTGTATCTGACTTACAGAATATGTATGTCTAACAAGCTCTAAGTGCACATACGAAAACTAAATACAAATTGTTCTTTATTGCCACATGAATAGATTCCTCCCACTCCACAAAATCCTTGGCAGGCCCCCTCCCATCAATTCAGCCCAGGAATAAAGTCTGAGAGGATTGCTGAGCCTGTAGCCACAATGATGAAGGAGTTGGTCTCCACTGTGCTTATTGGGAAGCGAGTTCTAGAATCACTAAAGCTTACATTTTAAAACATGGCCAATGCATTTCGGTGACTCCATTTTTGGGTGCCCAATTTCAGCCAACCTGGGCCTAATTTAGTATCCATAGGTCCCATTAATTTCTGTTGGAGAAGAGGGTACTCACACTGCTAAAAATCAGGCCCAGAGAAGCTCAAACCAGACACTGAAAATGACTGGCCACTTTTGAAAATGTTGGCCATTATCACTAAATGGAATCAGGAACATAAGAACTATCAGGCCTGGTCTGAGAAGGGGTCCAGATAGCCCATTATCCTCTCTCTCAGGCCTGGTCTACTCTAGGACCTTAGTCCGAAATACCCCCCTCCCAGGTCGAATTTGTAAGCAATACATCCACACTCCCAAGTCTGTTATTCCAGAATAAGGGGCTGCAGAATTCAAACTCTGTAGTCCCACTTTTCATAAGGAGTAGGGCTAGCCCCAAACTTGTAATTCCAAAATAACATTAGTATGGATGCTCCGGTGTCACTAATTAGCCTCCAGGAGGCCTCCCACAGATCCTCTGAGTGCTTCCCTGTAGTGAAGACACAGACCGTCGAATTTGTAAAAGTGGGGGCCCAGATGTCGAATTTAACTCATTCAAAATAATCTCCTAGCATAGACATAGCGTGAGAGTATCCATTTTCTTCCTGTTTCCTGTCATTATGCCCCGAAGCAGGAGGGTTCATACCACTTCTCAATTATATTTTTTCTTTTTTCCCCCTCAGGTTTGGACACAGAAGACTCTAAAAAAGGTAAAAACTTGGCTCTTGTGCTCATTGAAAGACCTTTTGGGTCTGTGTTAAATGGAGGAGACATTTTGCTCTTGAAAGTCCCGGGGAGTGGGTATGTCACAGATCACGATGGCTGCCTGGACTCTGCATCCTCTCTTTGTACTACAGCTCGTGGGGGTAGAGGGTTAGGTCTCAGAGGGAGCACAGATGGTCAGTGTTCATGCCCTTCTTGCTCCTGATATAAACACAAGGCTTCAGTCTCTGTGGCTGTTGGTGTCGTACCTTTCACATATACCACAAGCTCACTTCTGGAGTAATCAGTTTGAATAGCAGGGCACTAAATCATGTCCCAGGGAAAGCACATTACAAGAGACATGTGTAGCAAAGTAAACTGAGTAAGGTGATTTCCTGGCTTATATAGTACCTGTTACATGCCCAGCCTCCCTTACAATAGGACTGGCTGCACCCTGATTCACGTTAGGCCCTATCCTGCCCCCGAGAGCATCACTCTTATTGACTTTGCTAAAAGCAGGGTTCGGCCCATGATTCTGAGGCTGGGTGTGGAGCAATACTCCCAGTCCTTACCAATGGGGAAACAAGAACTGACAGGTGCTAAACTGGCCCACTCCATGTACAGGTCTAGCTTCTGATCCCATGTGGATCAGTAATAGCATCACTGAAGTCAGCGAAGTTACTCCAGGCAAAACTGACGCAAGTGAAGTCAGAATAGAGTCCAAAACTGGGGAAGTCGGTGCAATTAACAGGGAAAAGCAACCGAGGACAGAAGCTGTGTGAGACGGTTCTCTCTCACCACGTGAAAGACTGTCATGGCTTCTTCCTCACTCTGGTACAATAAATGCAGAAGTGGGGGGCCCGCAAAAGTACCCCAAAACCATATCTTTCCAGGCTTCCCCCCAAAATCTTAAAAACCTAGATTTTGGGGATAAAATCCGCTGCTACCACCCAGGTAATGATAGAAAAATCAGGGGAGAGATCACTTGGGAAATCTCACCCCTAAAGTAAAAACCAGGACACACAAATTAACCAGTACCAGGATAATAAAAGAAAAGAGAAAGAACTTTTATTATCACCACAATATTCCTGTTGAAAGCATAATGACTAGATGGGAAGGTCACAAATTAATATACTCATGGGGGAAACCCTACCATGGGCCAAGACTTAATTACAAAGGAGAGCAAAACCCATTTTTAAAAATGCACAGACATCAGATCCCATTTCCCAAACCATAAAACAATAAAATAGATTTATCTAAACCAGTGGTCCCCAACCTTTTGGGGCTGCTGGGTGCCTGGGGGCGGGGCCACTCACACGCCAGTCGCCTGGGGGTGGGACCACCCATACACTGCGTGCCCGGTGCCGGCGCCACCCATGTGCTGGGGCTGGTGCCGGTCCTGTGCCACACGCCCAGGGGTGGGGTTGCCCATTCGCCATGCACCCAGGGCTGGTGCCGCTCACCCAGGCGCAGGGCCACACATACGCCACACGACTGGGGCTGGAACAGCCCATGCACTGCGTGCCCAGGGCCAGCGCCACTCCTGTGCCGCGTGCCCAGGGGCCGGCAGCGCCCAGGCACCAAGCGCCCGGGGGCGGGAGTGGGGCCAGCCCCGATCACTTGGCGGGTGCACAGAAATGGCCTGGGGGGCGCTATGGTGCCCGTGGGCACCACGTTGGGGACCACTGATCTAAACCTTACCCTACTTACAGATAGTGAAGAGTCTATTCTTGGAAGGAGACATTCTGTCTCCCTCAGTTGCTGGAGAGAAACTGCCCAGGGACAAAGGAGGAAAAACCCCAAAATTCCTTTGTCCCAGTTTGAAATCCCTGCCTGCATTCCTATTGGCTGCCTCTACCTGGCGTAGGTAAGGGACATAGTTAAGCACTTAGTCCCCAGGCTGCTGTCTAACCCTCACGGTCATGACAGAGACTCACGAAGAGGAGAAACTGACTAGGAAGGTCCTGACGGTGCAATGAGCGTGCTACATTCTCACAGGACCTCATTGCTCTCCAACACTGTAAACTCAAACAGAGAGAGAGAAAATATCTTTAGTTTTACCTTCTCCAGCTGCAGTCACCTGAGGGGAATAAAGCTCAAGAGAAACGTGAGATTTGTGAGTTGACACTTTAACCGAATGTCTTGTTTGCAGTTACCTTTGGATGCTGCTTTATTAGTCACAATGTATGTATTTATTATTGTTACTGGTATTACTCCATATTTATTTTAATTGTCTGTGTGGTTCCTCACAGCCTCTTTCTGAGATCTTTTAAAAATGAAATTATTATTTTTTAGAGCCTGGATCTGTCGGTGCTGAAAAGGGAGTGAGTAAAATCCCACCACCGGCAGTTTAATCTCCATTAAGCTACTGATTAATAATTATTATCAGAGAAATATATTTTATTTCTAAAAGTATGTTGAATATAAGTGCAAAGTTATCAGCCATTAATGATACATACATAAATATAGGGACCGATCTCAGGCTGCTCTTTGTGCATTCAAGTTTTGTACCTTCAAATAATTATGGCTGCGTTTTTCAACTAGCCACAGTTGAGTGTGCAGAACCACCTGATTTACAAACACAAACAGGACAGAGTAGACTAGAGGCGACTGAAAAATAAAATGTGCGCACGTGTATGGAATCCAAATTCCCACCTGTTTCTGCATTGTCAAGCCTTTGCAATGTTAGCGCCACTGCTCTCATTGTCAGTGTTCAAACAACAACAACAGGAACTTTATTTTGTGTTCTGAAGGCTGGGGGAGTGATCTCCCTGGGTCCCTGGGTCCAGCCCAGCTCCCTCAGGAAACAAATCTTTTGAATCTTATGCTGTTTTCATGATGAACATTTGTTTAGTTAAATTTGCCCACCAGTTACAGAGCTGCTCACAGAACTGTATTTTGTGGACTCACCTGATTGGCTGATCTCCCCACCATTTTTACTTAAAAAAATTGTTATTAAAAATCCAGCTGCCATCACTAGTTATTAATAGCCCAGGCTCTGCAGATCCTTTCGCTTAGGATTCAGCCTGTGTCAGGATCGGGACCTCACATCCACACCCACAATTTACTGCAGTTACTTCGTGCCTGAGTGAAAATTTCCCTGATAAAATATCAGGTACAATACTATATTAATAGAACTAGTACCCTATAATGAGATATTGCTAATTAGGAACCTGCTCCTACAAGCACTTCCTTTAGAATATGCAACTTACTCCAGCCACCACTAGCTCCACGGGATGAACAGGACTGCTCCCAGCAGTGGGCAAAGTGTCAGGAGGCATGTTGGCAGAATTGGGCCCAGAGTTGTTATTTGTTGCTAATAATTGACCCAATATAAAAGTGTGATTATCTATCTATCTATCTATCTATCTATCTATCTATCTATCTATCTATCTATCTATCTATCTATCTATCTATCTATCTATCTATCTATCTATCTATCTATCTATCTATCTATCTATCTATCTATACACACCCCTCTAGTAAGCTAGCTATCCTGAATTGTGTATACACTGTATTTCCCATTGGAGAGGTATTTTCAAAGATGTTTTCTCAGAACACCTTTATTTGGAGGTTTCTGAGAGGTCGGTTGCTTTTCCCTGGGACATGGCTCCTTTCTAAGTGAGTTCTAAACCTCACTTAGTGATGACAACTTAGCTCTCTGGGCTGCTTTGTACTTGTCACCTGCCAGCCTTTATTTTTGTTTTATAGCCAACATCAAGGTGAAAAAGGAAGGCCATGACGTAGTCCTGGAGTGCCCGTTTTCCGAAAATCTGATAGCTTGGACGAGAGATGGAAATCCTGTAGAGGAAACTAGTAAAACATATAATTTGGGACCAGAATTGAGTGACCCAAAAGGAATTTTTCAATGCAATACTTCCAACCATCTACAGGTGTATTTCCGAAGTGCGTTCAGCAGTTAGTTTGCCTCTGATCTATAAAACTACAGTTGGCTGGAAGTTTTAATTCAAAACTTATTTTTTGATGAAAAATGGCCTTATTTCGGAAATTAAAGTTTTAAAAGTGTCCTGTGGAACACACCCACCATTTGTCCACTGGCTCTCTGTAAAGCTGCAGCAGTGGCAAATGTGTGTGTTTCTCTGTGCCCACATTTCCCTGCAGGCTGTGTGTCTGTAGAGTCATCCTGCTCTGGCCCAGTGGAGGTGGGAGGAGGCTATATGACCTGCCTGGGCTTGTCCACCACTAGCCTCTCACTTTGTGCGCTCAGCCAGAAATCTCAGCACTGCTCAGGCTGGGACAGGTGGCATGGGAGTCCCGCTGGCCTCTGGGCAGCAGGCACTAAGACAATAGGGGCAACATGTGGCCCTTTGGGACTCCACCTGTGGCCCTGGCTGCCCTGCTCCCCCCCACGCCTCTCGCGCACTGGGCACTGGGCCCCACACTTCCTGCTCCTCCCCCCTTCCCAGCACTTTCAGAGGTGCTGCTCCATCTCTGCACCTTCCCTTCCCTTCCAGACCTGGAACACTGTGTCTCAGCTGTTTGCAGCACTCCAGCTCTGGGAGGGAGGGGGGAGGGGGGCAGAAGTCCCAATGCATGAGAGGTGTGAAGGGGAGGGGGCCAGACGGGGGGCCCCTGGGGCCTCATGTGAAACCCCAGGGGACAGCGGTTGCCCATCCCTGCACTCAGATGTGCACTTGCATGGGGGTTCCTAGGCTACATGCACAATTGCTGGCTCACTCCACCCCCTTTCCCAGCTCATTCTGGGCCAGTTCCGTGGGGCTGCAGAGGTGGGAGAGCAGTGGACTGTGTGCATGGTGGGGTGGGGTGGGGTGGGGGGCTATATTCCTAAACTGGTCAGCAAAGGGGCCTTGTGGGAGGTGCAGAGAAATGCTCCAGGGCTCTCCTGCTGGCTGTCTCCCCGTGCTGCAGGGCCCGTGGCGGGTTGGGCCCAGGTCTCAGTGCTCTGTGGTGTCTGTGGCTTTGCAGTGTGCGGAAACTGCATCGAACTGGATGCAGCCACCATCTCGGGGATCATAGTAGCCGATGTCATCGCCACCGCCTTCCTGGCAATTGCCGTGTACTACATCGCTGGCCAAGACAGTGGCCGTCTCTCACGAGGTGAGATGGGGAGGGGTGTCTGCTGCCCAGCGCAGGGTGGGGAGTGTCTGGCCATCTGTACTCACCCCAGGATGAAGGGTGGCTCGAACTGGATGCAGCCACCATCTCGGGGATCATAGTAGCCGATGTCATCGCCACCGCCTTCCTGGCAATTGCCGTGTACTACATCGCTGGCCAAGACAGTGGCCGTCTCTCACGAGGTGAGATGGGGAGGGGTGTCTGCTGCCCAGCGCAGGGTGGGGAGTGTCTGGCCATCTGTACTCACCCCAGGATGAAGGGTGGCTGGTTGGACAGGACTCGCCAGGCGATACCCCGGGGTCTTTCCATCACTCACCCACGTGCTGCTGGTCGGTCCTGGAGCCCCATGTGACACCTACAGGACTGCAGATCCGCTCACGGGAGGGTGTCTGCATGTGTGATTGTGTGTCTGCCCACTGGCATCTGTGCGCCGGCCTGTCTGCCTGGCTGAGGGGGTAGCTGCAGGACCCCTGCCTCTGGATGGAATCTCTGTCACTTCCTCCCAAATTCCTGTCACTTCACAAACTCTCCTGGCTGCCAGGCCTGGGTGCAGAGCCCAGCAGGAGAGGGGACGTTTTGGGCAGAGACATACACAAGGCAAGAGCCTACCTTAGTTCTCGATGCAGTGTCCCCCCTTGCTATGGGGGGTTGAGCTCGCCAGTTGTAGGGACAGTGGAAGCCCTAGTGTGGACAGGGCTCCTGGAGCTCTCTGCATTTGAACCACCTTGTTACTGACCCTCAATGTCACCAGTAGTTGTTGGCTCCTCAACCACAGCATCCCCACTGGCGGGGCCGCACGGGTGTCAGGGGTGGTACACGGTGCTAGGAGTGGGGAGACAAAGTCGCCCTTTGGGTGCATTTGAAAATGCTGTCTCCCCCCCCCCCACCAACCAGTGCTTCACTGACCCTTGTTTGCTTTATTTTAGCTTCTGACCGGCAGAACCTGATTGCCAGCGAGCAGCTGTACCAGGTGAGCGACATGGGGCGCTGGGCCAGCCTTTCCCGTCCCTTGGAGCTGGGACTCTGGGCTAGCCACGGAGGGATTGCTCAGGGCTTAGAGAGAGAGGCCTGAGGCCTGGCCAGGTATTTAGGTCCAGAGCAGGAGCAGAGCGCTCCCAGCGGAGGTGGGGTCTGCCTTGGTCGTGCTGCACCTCCACTTTGCCAGGCGTAAACGATTGCCCTGGAGCAGCAGGTGCCTGTGCACGCTGCAGCTGGGACACCGTCTGGTTGGGCCCCTCCCCGGTGCCAGGGCGTTGGAGCAGCTTTTACAGCAGGCGTGCTGAGAGCCCCTGGCCAGAACTGTGATGGAAACCCCTTCCAGGCAGGGGCCCCTGCCGCCCCTGTAGTGAGAGCACCCCACAGAGTGCTGGCTGCTTACCCTGCCTGTACCACCCTTTGCCCTTCCACAGTGACACCCTTCTGAGGGCGGAGCCCCAGGGGCCCCTCCCTCCCTCTCACACCTTCAGATTAAATGCCTGCTGCTAACCCCAGCCAAGCAGCTGATCTGTGCAGAGCGCCTGCCATGGCGGAGGCAGGAGGGGCTTGTGCAGCAGTGCGCTGCCTGTCTAGGAGCATGGCCGGCACACCTGGGCACTGGCTCCCCCGGGTGGATGTAGGGCACAGACCCCCTGGTAGAGAAGTGGGCCGACCAGGTAATGATGGGAACTGAGCCCTGGCTGGCCCCTGCTCCCAGCTAAGAAACGCTGCTAGATCTGCTCAGCAGAAGGGCCTGCTAGCTGGGAACTCAGGCCGTGTTGTGATCTCTGTGGTGAGCTGCCTGTGTCACACGGACGCGTGGAATGCAGAGGATATGGGAGGTGCTGCCGGGGCCCATTTCTCCTAGCAGAACCCCAGCTCCCAGCTCTTGGGGGTCAAATACAGCTGTGGTGGGTGCAGTGCAAGACCCTGAACTGCACAGAAACACTTGAAAAAGCAACCCGCCTGTCTCCCTTCCTCCTAGCCCCTGGGGGAGCGGGACAATGAGCAGTACAGCCGGCTCGGTGCCGCCAGGACCCGCAAATGAGGAGGGCGAGCACCTGTGGGCTAATCAACTGTCACCCCTGGCTCCTTATCCTGTCTCTTCTCTGTGTGGGACACGCCAGCATTGGAGAATCCTGCTGCCTTCAAGCTGGCCCCCAAAGCCTTCACTCTGCACCTCGGTGGCCAGAAGCCATGGTGAGGGGTGCCTCAGTAAGGTGCCTAGGAAACAGAGGATTTGCTGCTCGCGGGCGATCCTGGGCCCTGTGGTGTGCTCAGAGCTTTCTCCTCCTTGTAATGCGTTTGCTTTGTCAATAAAGAGGCTTTTCCCTGACTGCTGAGAGGAGCAGAATCCAGCCTGGCTGTCCTCATTCCCAGGGCCTGCAGCCGATGGAGGGGTGTGTCTGACAGGCCCCCATAGGATCAGTAATGGGCCCAACAAGCCTAACTGGGGAGGGGCTTTGGCCTGGGTGTGGAGATGTGCTGTGCTGGTGGCTGGTTGTTTGTAACACCCCGTGGGAGCAAAATACGGAGGCTGGGGAGCGGGGCAGAGCTAGGGTTGCCAGGTGTCAGGTATTGACCCAAACAACCTGGTATTTTGCCTCCTGTCTGGTAAAAAAAATCAGAAAATACCAGATACCTAAAATGTCCGGCATTTTCTGATTTCTTTCCCAGCCAGGAGGCGAAAATACCAGACACCTGGCAACCCTACGACACACCCAGCCCCTGGTCCCCTGCCTCCTGACCGCCTGCTTACCTTGTTCTGCAGGGAAGCTGTGTTCTGGCTTGATCAAGAAAACAAAATGGCCACCGGCAAAAAGTCTAAAGACCAAGGAGAAGCAATGCCTCCCCTGGGTCTTAGTGCTCTACCACTCCCCTGCTGCTATCCCTAGTCTGACTCTGCACGCACTCTGAAAGGGGCCATGCTGTTTTGATGCTGTTTTATTATTATTTATTATCAGGGCTCGCCAAGATGCGTGCGCAGACCACGCTGCGCAGCTGTGCCGGCTTGTAATCTACTTGCCACGGACGAGTAGATTATATTAATTGTTGAGCCCTGATTATTATTATTTTTGGGGGGGGGTCAGTATTTTTGATTAAACCATCTGGCAGCCCTAGACAGGGGAGAGGTAACGAGAGGAATCTGGCACAGTTGTGAGTGTCGGTAACACCCACCTCCCGCAGTGCCTTCCTCCCGAGGGCTACAAAGTGCAGGAGAGCCCCTCCCCTGTGACCTGGCTGGGGCAGGGGGCGGCTGCGGGGAGCAGCTGGTTCCAAAATAGGTTTGGTTTGACATGTACAAGTTTCCGCTTATGGCCTGTCCCTTCCCCCTGCACACAGGCCACAAGCCGGCCTGAGCGTGCGGTGGCAAACCTGCACTCACGCTGGAGGCGCTCGGAGCTGGGGAGGCTGCAGCTAGTGCTGCTGGAGACGTGTGTGACGCCAGCCCTCCCCTCCCCTTCCCTCCCAAGATCAGATACGGCTGAGCTGTAGCAGGGCGGAAATGGAAACAGCAGCGTGGGGGCGAAGCAGGGCTCGGAGCACCGCAGCTGCAGAGGGGCTGATCCTGCAGGGAGGGGGCAGGGCAGCCAGGCCCGCTCAGTCAGCCCCCTGCCTTCAAGGGCTCTGGGAAGGCTGCTGGCCAGCCTGCTCCTCCCCCTGCCCACAGTGAGGAAGGCCTAGCCAGTGCATTCCCCGGTCTCATTGCTAACGGGCCCTGCCACGAAACAGGCGGAAGCTCCTGGGTGGCGTGATGCTGCTCCATCCCTACCCTGCCTCGGGGTGCCCCGCTATCCCCTCTGGGACTCTGAATAATAACACAGAGCTTCAGGTGGGCAACCAGCGTATGCCCCATTCATCCCACCGAGGGGGAACAGGCAGGGAGGGGCAAGCAGCGTACGCACCATTCATCCCACCGAGGGGGAATGGGCAGGGAGGGGCAAGCAGCGTACGCACCATTCATCCCACCGAGGGGGAATGGGCAGGGAGGGGCAAGCAGCGTACGCACCATTCATCCCACCGAGGGGGAATGGGCAGGGAGGGGCAAGCAGCGTACGCACCATTCATCCCACCGAGGGGGAATGGGCAGGGAGGGGCAAGCAGCGTACGCACCATTCATCCCACCGAGGGGGAATGGGCAGGGAGGGGCAAGCAGCGTACGCACCATTCATCCCACCGAGGGGGAATGGGCAGGGAGGGGCAAGCAGCGTACGCACCATTCATCCCACCGAGGGGGAATGGGCAGGGAGGGGCAAGCAGCGTACGCACCATTCATCCCACCGAGGGGGAATGGGCAGGGAGGGGCAAGCAGCGTACGCACCATTCATCCCACCGAGGGGGAATGGGCAGGGAGGGGCAAGCAGCGTACGCACCATTCATCCCACCGAGGGGGAATGGGCAGGGAGGGGCAAGCAGCGTACGCACCATTCATCCCACCGAGGGGGAATGGGCAGGGAGGGGCAAGCAGCGTACGCACCATTCATCCCACCGAGGGGGAATGGGCAGGGAGGGGCAAGCAGCGTACGCACCATTCATCCCACCGAGGGGGAATGGGCAGGGAGGGGCAAGCAGCGTACGCACCATTCATCCCACCGAGGGGGAATGGGCAGGGAGGGGCAAGCAGCGTACGCACCATTCATCCCACCGAGGGGGAATGGGCAGGGAGGGGCAAGCAGCGTACGCACCATTCATCCCACCGAGGGGGAATGGGCAGGGAGGGGCAAGCAGCGTACGCACCATTCATCCCACCGAGGGGGAATGGGCAGGGAGGGGCAAGCAGCGTACGCACCATTCATCCCACCGAGGGGGAATGGGCAGGGAGGGGCAAGCAGCGTACGCACCATTCATCCCACCGAGGGGGAATGGGCAGGGAGGGGCAAGCAGCGTACGCACCATTCATCCCACCGAGGGGGAATGGGCAGGGAGGGGCAAGCAGCGTACGCACCATTCATCCCACCGAGGGGGAATGGGCAGGGAGGGGCAAGCAGCGTACGCCCCATTCATCCCACCGAGGGGAACGGGCAGGGAGGGGCACGCAACGGAGGCCCCACTCATCACACC